TGATCAATATTGACTATTAATACTACTATCAGTTATGTCTCTGATTCATCGCCTTAAGAGTTATTGATAGATTAATTTCTTTGTAGAATATAAAGGTTCGAGAGTTGATTGAGGTAGAGAAATAGAATCAATGGAAGAATACAGAAGAAATTATCAAGGATATTAAGGTCAGTTCTCACTTCCTTGTGAATTATGATATGTTTGGCATATGTATTAATGCAGTGGAAGAATTTCTAATCCTCGCTTCTTAGATATTGCTGGATAAATTAAGCGTATAAATCATCTAAACTTATCAGATTATATTGATCACATCACCATTTCTCTCATTTTATTTGTCTTTCAAGAGTGGCCAAGTTATTGGACCACATATGTTACTTTAATCCTATCTAAACAAAGACTCACAACACTTACTTGAATTTCGTTAAACAATTGATTTTGGTATAAACTTTGTATATGTTCAGAAAGTATCTGATCGAGAAAATTATTTGTATCTATCAATAGAATTCATTTATTTTAGGTATAAAATTTTCTTAACGTCTTTATTCTTGGTTGATCGGACGAGATTATAAAAGATTAAAATCTGATTAAGTTTTATAACAAGTACCACTATACACTATAATGCAACTGTTGTATATCTTACATTTGTATCGCACAATTTCCTTGCTTATGATATTTTTTTTTCCTTTTGCTTTGTTGATATAATTGTTAATAAACCTCTGATCAACTACTTATATTAACTAAACTTAGTCATGCTAATTTGTGTGTCAGCTAACAATAAATCATTGATATACTCTTCAAGCAGATGATGTGATAAACCTAGTTTTTTAAATTCATATATCAGCAAAAGTTTGATCGTCAAGATAAAAGAAATGTAGGGTGTGGGTGTTAACGTAGTTGGGGATCTTCTTTTCAACATATGCACCCACACCCGAGACATCAGAATTTCAACATATAGACCCTTTTCTATACAGAGTGTATACAGTATTCATTTTTTGAAATCTATATATCTTGAAGAAGCTTTGTTCAAAACTTCTGAATTTTTTTACGGAAACTAGTATAGTTAAGGTCTATAAGTGTGTAAAGTTTCATATCAAGATTAGATTTCTCCAAAAAACTAGCGTTCGACAAGTGTCTCTGAAAGATAGGCATATTAAAAATTCGATAACTTAGCTAAATATCCATAAGCACTCAAATCCTTTTAAGTTTTTACTAGGACACTTAGAGATGTTTTCTCGTAAGTTATCCATTTATCGTAACTCTCTTTTTTGTCCATATTTTAAATTGAGAAGTTTAGATATTCAGCAAGTTGCATGTAGGAAACAAACATTCATCGATTTTTGTTTTATAGACACTCTTGATATTGAATCTAAAACAGAATGGTTTTTAACTCAGAAGAGTAGCCAATTCTGTTGATGAATTAAAGCATAAAATGGTGATTTCGATATCTTTAAAAGTTTTCATGTATGCCTATGCACATAATTGCAGACAATGAAAGACTTTGACCTATTTGGCAATCATGAAGAATTTGCGCTATCGGGCTAGCTGTTTAATTTCGAAATGATGATGGAATAAAACATTTTTTTCTAACAGTAGTTTTACAAAAACTTCGTTTTTTTGCTTACAAACACTCAGTTAGCTCGATCTTAAATAAAACCAAATTGAAACGAGGTTGTGATTGTGGATGCGGATATGTTTTGGTGTAGGCAAACATTAATAAAAAACGGGCATCGACACCCACACTCTTCAAAACAAAAAGATATTTATTATTAAAAATAATTTTGTACTATTTAAAGACAAATATTTATGGATATCAGTCCACATATTTGCTAATGGTGATCTTTGTTCAAGAGTCCTATTTTAAATTTATTTTATTATTTTTATTTATTACTTATCATCATATTTTATTATATGAATTAGGATGCTTACACGAAAACCTATTAATTAATTAATTATCAATAGTTGAATAGTCTCGAAGACAAGAATATATTCATTATGCATTAAACGATAAAATAGTATTGATTTCAATACACAAATAATATGAGTATATATGATTCAAACGATAAAATAACTTCAATAGTATTATTTCAATTCATACTATTGAATCATGTTGATGAATCGATAAAGGACTCGATTGATTATCATGAACAATAGTTTATTACTTTTTCTTCAATAAATGCAACATCATCGATTCGAAAAGTTTTATACAACGTTCAATTTCAGATCAAGACAAGCGTTGAGTCAATATTGATTCTAAGTTTTTGACTTAAATAAACAAAATTATGATCTCTTCTAACATAAAGTGTAGAAAATGTCAGATCTTCTATTTCAAAGATCTTAATAGTAACAAGTCTACGACTTTCGTTGTCGTAAAGTTAGTTTAATGAGACCTTATTTGATATAAAATATGATAATCCTCAGTGTTTATTGAAGGACAAGACTTTTCTTAAATGATCACGTTTCGAAAGTTCTCATTGCATTATTTCATAATCGTATATGTCTAAATTATATGCATTTAGAACTACTGAAAAAAAAGGCACTGTGAATTTTAATGATGATGTCTATGTTCATGGACATATGTAACAAGAAATAAAGATCGATAAATCAATGGTAAAATTCAGTTTGTATTCATGTAGAATATGTAAGACAACTCGCTTTTCTGACAGTCAATGAACAGACTGTTATACTTTTTAAGATACTTATATTATATATTCAATGGAAGTTAATTACATTCTCAAAGGTATCAAACAACATATCGATCAATTATATCATCGTACTGTATGTCTTAGATCTTCAATTGTATCTCGAGTGTTCTCTATATCAATACAATCGATACAAATAACTAAAACAATAATTATGCCTTGAACTTTTCAAATACGTAATCGAAGTTGAAATGTTAAAAAGAAAATTAAAAAAAAAAAGATTGAGTTTTTATAACAGCTACGATCTTTTGCTGTTATTCGATAATATGTAATAGATTTTTTTTGAGTTAAGAATAAAAGCTTCACTATACGATCTTATCTGATATTTGACTTTTTTTTTTAGTAGTATAGATTTATGGTCATCGAAGAGAATAAATACGATTATGATATTCATTACGAAATAAAATAAAAATATCGGTCAATATTTCTTCTCTTTCTGCTCTATAACATTTTACATACAGTTTTTTAGTCAACTAGTAATTGAATTATAAATGAATACATGAAAAAAACCTACAAAAGAAAATGTAATAAACGCCTAATGTGTTTATTCTCTATAGAGTTGAAACAACTTCTTTTATCATAAATCAAACATCAGACATTCTTATCGAAATGTCCTTAAATCGAATTGAAATTGAATCCAGAGATTTTTTTTTAAAATAATATCTAACCTTTTCTTTTTCTCGTCTATCACGATAACCTTGTACTTCGAAATTAAAGTTCAATTCGATCATACAAAAATCAAGCGAAAAAAAAAGTGAAATATCATTAACGAAAAGCCCTACTGTTTGTTCATCAGTATAAATAAATTTCATGGTTCGATAATTTTTTTTTTTTTTTTATTTCAATCATTTCTATATTCAATATTAAATGAAATATTTCCTGATTTATTTAATTGCATACAATTTTTTTTTGTTATGTTCAAATAGTATCATTATTCCAATAAAATGTCCATTGAACAAAAAAAAAATCTACGAAATTCAATTTACTATTAAGTCAATACGATTGGTTGACGGACTTTTGTCCTTAAACTGTGTATATATTTCATCGTAATGATCCTTTCGACGTGCTCAAATCACATATATTGCGTGTTGACCTTCACATCGTCCCTACTTTTTTTTCTCTCTCTCTCTGTCTCTCTTGTACTCTTTTATTCGGGTTTTTTTTCACACACTTTTATACTCCACCCCCATTTTTTTTTTTTACTTTGATCTTGGTTTTAGTATTTTCTTTTTTTTCCTGTAACTTTCATTCATTGTTTGATTATATAAAATAAACGTACATGATGATAGACAATTGGTCAATATCAAAAGATGATTTATATGGTCCACCACCAGCTTATTCATTAAGAAATAATTATGAAAATCCTCCTGCTCGACCACCACCACCACCGCCATCATATACACCATCGATTTATGTTGTACCTATTACAGATATTCAATATCAAGATAGATTATCTTCATCGCATGCATCGATTATTTTATCAAAAAGATTTACTCGATATTTACTTGGAACAGGACTTCTTCATATGACAATTGGATTAGCAGCTATTGTTTGTGATATTATATTAACGATAATGAATGAATCATATTCATTTACTGGTCTTTGGACAGGTGCATTAAGTATTATATTAGGCATAGATCTTATTCTATTTATGAGTCGTTCAAATATTCGTATATGTTCTTTACAACGAATACGACTAATACATATGGCTATATGTTTAGTTTGTATAGTTGCAATTATTCTTACATCAATTAATCTTGCTTCTGATTCATGTTATAAAATATTTTTAGGTCCAGATCGATGTCAAAATTCATCACATATAATAAAAATTATTCTTGTTACACTTTTTTCTTGTAATTTTATTCAAATATGTATTACAATTGTAATGACATTTATTTATATGAGTAAATCTCATGAAATAGTAACAAGAAATGACAGTATAATGCCTGAAATTATCATCAGTTAGATACATTTATTTATTTTAATTTTTTTTTTTTGTTTCTTAAATATTTGTTATTATTATTCTTTTGTCAATAGTCCGATAGAATCATTTTCTTTTTTTTCTTCTTTTCATGAGAACAAGAAAAAAAAAATAAGAAACACATTTTTTTTTCCTACTCTATACAGTACATGCATGACATATGATGGTAAAAAAAAACACGGCAAGCAAACTAGCTGTGCGATTCTTTTTTTTTCTTTCTTTACAGATATTTATATTGTCTTTTGTTTTTTTTTTCTTAATTAAAGGAAATTAATTAAATAAGTCATATCATGTCCAACGTTAGTATTTATGCAATAGTCATGATATTATGTCTTCAAACATTGATCAGTTGTCTTACTTCAACAATTGGACAATATATATATGGATTTTATTTAGAAACATATCCAAATTCATCAAATAAAACATCTAATTATACAATAATACATGTATATGATTCTATCTATTTTTTCAATGAGATTAATAATGAGACAAATAAATGTTTACAAAGTGATATTTCACCTAATAAAGATGCTCAAACATGGGCACAACAACGTTCAGCTAATCTATTTTTTTGGACAAATTTAATGAGTAGTTTTCCGGTTATAATAATGACTTATATTTTTGGTTTATATACACCTAAATTAGGAAAACGTATTGTACTTATCATACCTATGTTAGGTACGACTATTCAAGTTAGTATTTGGTTATCAATTATTTATTTTCATTTATCTGAATTTTGGTGGTATATAGCTGCATTCATAATTGGTTTATCTGGTTCCGGTGGTCTTTCAGGTATTTTTTTAAGATTAATATTTTCGAAATATAATTGTTATAATTTATTCAACGTTATTTTTCTAAATAAGTTCTTGTATTATAGATATATGTAAAAATGTAAGTCTTTCAAGTAACTATTAATTAAAAAGTAATTATTGAATATTTATCTAATCATACAAACAAAGTTTGAAAACTGTAGGTTAAGCTCTGTGATATGAACTACATTCACAGTGTGATTTTCAATACGATTGAACTTTAAAAAAAATGTTACTTTAACCTATTGACTCCTAGCAGTATCACGTCGAATATTATGGGATGTGCAAATCATGAATTTTCTTTGAGTCTATTTTAGTTACTCTGTCGAACATCGTCTTCTTGAAATAGCCATTATGAAAATGATAGAAATGATATATTGATTCAATAAAAATTCATGAAATGAAAGTCAATGTTCACATTACTAACCATAGATTTTTTACTGATAACTCCTCTGAACAAAAGTCTCTAAAGTAACAATATATTTATGTTAATTGTGCGAAGTCACGTTGATAATGAATAATTTGGTCTATATACATATACTATAAATCGTTCAAATTAGTCTATGTTGTTACTAAGCTTAGACAAGTGATTGAAAGAACTTTATATGAGACTATTCTAGAAATCTGCTGATAGTTTTTCTTTGAAAAATTTATTATCTAAAATGCTTTGTTTTTTCTTTATTTAGGTTTAATTTTAAATTTAATTATTACTGAAAATACATTTGAAAATGAACGTTCATCTCGTTTTGTACGTTTGGGTGCAATGCAAACAGCATTAACAGCAATAGGAACATTTAGTATTGGTTATTATATACTTTGGCGTGGTTTTATTGATCTATATTGGACATGTCTTTCATTACAAATATTATCTATTATTATTGTTATAATATTTTTTAAAAGAGTTGATACAAATGTTGATGAACAAACACCTTTATTATCAACAAATAATAATGAATATAAAGAAATTTCATCAAATATATGTAGCCATTTTTTTAAAGTTTGTACAATATTTAAATCAAATCAACGATCAAAGAAAAAAACTCTATGTTTATATTTAACATTATTTTCAAATACATTTTATGTATTAGCAGTAACATCATTATCACCATTTTTATGGTTTCTTCTAAATGTACCTTTTTGTTGGACATCAAAAGATATTGGAAAATATTCAGCATTAGGTGCTATTTCTTCTTCAATACTTAGTGTAATTGGTATGCAACTATTAACATATATTGGAGCTAATGATGCAATTATATGTGCAATAAGTCATATATTTTTTTGTTTAACATCATTATGGAATGCATTTGCACAATATGGATGGCAACTATATATTGGATTATTAATAAATGGATTTTCTGGTTATCAAAGTTCATTAACAATATCAATGATGTCAAAATGGTTAGAATTTCATGAACGAAATAATGCATTTATATTGATAACAGAAATAAATACCATTATATGTACATTTGGAAGTTCATTTTTCAATTGGATTTATGCACATACAGTTGTTAATCATCGAAATTTGATATTGTTTATTGCTGCTAGTCTTGGAGTTATTCCATTTATTTTAAATATGTAAATATTTTGATTTGATAAATTTAATGAAAAAAATATATTTTTATTGTTTGTATATTAAGATGTCTTTTTTTAATAATTCGAAAAATGTCAAACGAACAAGTACTTTCACCTTCACAAGTTGATACAGAACCAGTACCATTTCGTTTAGAAAGTAGCACATTACCACATACGGGTGATGCAACCTGTTTAATAATTGCATCTCGATCATTGACTTCTTCATTACGTATGCCATCAATAGAAAGATCTCGAACTAATTCTGATGATGACAATCAAACGGAATCAATAATCAATTCATCAATTAATGATTTAGGTATTTTGTGATATAGATATATTTTTGTATTCTTCTTTTAATTTTTTTGTATAACAAAAAAAAAAAAAGGAAGCAGAAAGATTTATTGTACGTTGAAATAAAATATTTTTAATGTTAATAAAAAAAGTTTGATGCATCAATTCAATATATAAATCTCATTGAGGAATAATAGCTCACATTCAAATCTGATAATCAATGAAAGATTCATAATTGTTAGTTTTTCGTTCGAAATTTATACATTGAAAGTTGTTGAAGAAATTTTAGTTTTTTCTAAATAAGATATGTTGATAGAGAAAATTTTGATCAATTGCAAGATTTTCGTCATCTTTTGAAATCTCTTGAAAGTATTCTATTTGAACAGAAATTTGATAAACATCGTTTTATTCGAATCTTATCTTCACCAAACAGATCTACAACATTGTGTGCTCAACATTATAATATGAGAAGGTAATCATTGCATATTATTTTTAATTGAATAATTTAAACAATAAAGATGAGATTCTGAAAATCTCGAAAAAAAATTTTTCTTTTTCTTCTTCCATTTCGATTGTATGGCCAAAAAATAAGCAGTACATTCTTTTACTTTTCTTTTCAGTTTCTCACATGTACGATGCGTTTTTCTTTTAATGCTTCACTTACTTTTTTGTCTTTCTGTAGGAGAAGAAAAAAAAAGAGAACACTGAATAACTTAATGATGACTAATACTACAGGTAAAGGCAAAGTGTTAAAATAAAGGTTGTTGTTTTTTTATTTTCATTAAAAGAAATATAAATTGATCAATCCTGTATGATGATCAATATTAGTAATTATGTCATAGCTATTATTTTATGTCTTCAAACAGCATGTCATTGTGTTATTTTAACTGTTGGACAATATATTTATGCATATTATTTACAAACATATCCATCAACATCAAATACAACTCAAAATTTTACTAAAATAATAATGCCTTCATTTCATCATTTAAAAATTGTTAACACTGCCTTGACACAATGTATAGATAATACAACTAGTAATTCTTCAAATAGTAATGCTCAAATATGGGCACAAGAACAATCAGCTGATTTATTCTTTCGAATTGATTTATGGAATAGTTGTCCAATGATTATTATGACTTATATTCTTGGATTATATACTCCAAAATTAGGTCGAAGATTTGTTCTTATAATATCTATGTTAGGTACTACTAGTCAATTAATTATCTGGTTAGCAATTATTTATTTAAATTTAGCTGATTATTGGTGGTATATAGCTAGTTTTATTGTTGGTTTATCTGGTTCTACTTTTGTTTTGAGTAAGAGAAATATTTTGATATTCTTTTATACACAGGCTAGTTTTTTTTTACTAACACAAAAAAATTTTTACTTTTTCATAAATAGGAAAAAAAATGTAAGATAAAGAAGAACGAGTTTATTAAGAAAAAAAGAAATTGTAAAAAATCGAATGATCTTTTGAATACAACGTACCGTTCATTCATATATTTTTCCGCTCTACTGTACTCCCTTTGTTTTGTGAAATTCTTCTTTTCTCATAAAACTCGGCAACTACAAAAGCAGAAGTTCGAAACAAGACCTTCACGTTAAATATAAGATGGAAAATAAAGAACAGAGAAGAATAGGTTCGAGATAACATACGCACAACAAACTTGGACATACTTGGTAGATGACTATGATTAACAGTATACAAGGAAAAAAGATTCATATCGTGTGATGGAACATCTTTGAGTAGAGCAAAAGCAGAAGAAGTAAGATATATCAATGAACGGCATATTGTAATCAAACGATTATTTAATTATTTACAATTTCTTATTGATAAACTGCCTCTTCTATGTCGTACATTTGTTTTTCCTATCAGTAAAAAAAATCAGCCCGTTTGTTCGAGTCATAACATAGAGATTCAATTTTTTCTCGATAATATAAGGTTTGAACCATTCTGTATTTTTAAATATTTTGTTTTTTTTTAATTTTGTAGATTTTGTACTAAATTTAATTATTACCGATAATACAAACGAAGATAATCGATCATGTTGTTTTGTTTTATTTGAAGCATTAACAACAACTGTATCAGCTGTAGTTACATTTGCTATTGGTTATTATATTAATTGGCGTGGTTTTACAGATCTTTATTGGATTTCATTAGGATTACAAGTTGTTTCAATTATAATTGTTATTTTCTTTTTTAAAAATACTTCTCATATAATCGATGAAAGAACTTGTCTATTATCATCATCGATTCAAAATAATAATGATAATCAACTTAAAGAAACACGTTCGTTAAGAACGACATGTAAAGATTGTTTAATTATTTTCAAAATATTTAGTTTTAAAAATCGTTCACATAAAAAATCAATTAGTCTTCTATTAATTCTATTCGCTTATATTTTTTATCTATTAGCATATTCAACATATGCATCATTTCTTTGGTATTTACTTGATAGTCCATTCTGTTGGTCATCAGAAAATGTTGGAAATTATATGGCATTATCTTCAATATCTTGTGCTATTTTTAGTTTACTTGGAATGAAATTCTTTACATATATTGGTGGTAATGATACAATCATTTGTATATTTAGTCATTTTTGTTTTACTATATCATCTCTTTGGATCGCATTTGCTCAACATAGTTGGCAATTATATGCTGGATTATTAATCAGTCCTTATGCCGATTATCAAAATTCTTTAACGATACCAATGATGTCAAAATTATTAGAAGTTCATGAACGAAATCATGCATTTATATTTGTAGCTGAAGTAACTACAATTATAACAACTTTTGGAGATTCAATTTTTAATTGGATTTATGCACAAACTGTAGTTAATTTTCAAAATTTTACTTTATTACTTGCTGTTGGATTTAGTATTATTTCATTTATTTTAAATATGTAAGAAATTAATTAAAATTTGAAGAATAATATTATTTTCTTGTTTTTATTAGATGTCTACTTGGTGTAACACGACAAATACCAAATGAAGAACAAGTTTCAATATCTGAATCAGAACCATTTCTTTTACCAATTAGTAATAACAATGATAATAATATAGCACATGCCGGTGATGTTATTTGTCGATCAATACTATATTCAACATTGGTTTCAGCGACAACAAAAACAAATAGATCTCGACGGAACTCAGAATCATTAACTGACAACAAGATAATAACAACAGATAATCATTTAAGTCTTTGATCTTTGCATGTTATAGTAGTGTTATTTGATTAAATAAAAAACGAAAAGTAAAATAAGCATGAGTAATGTATATAGCACAAATCAGATCTAATTACTAGCTAATTCCAGGAGGAAAAAGCAGACATGAAGTAGAAAAGAACATCAAAGTAAAAAAGTAGCTCAAAATATCTAGAAGTAGTTCAAAGGGTGTAGAAGTAGCTTTGAATTAGTTCGAAGTACTTTAAAATAGCGTGGAATAACTTCAAGTGCAAAAGTCTGCTTTTTTGCCAAGCATTAGATAGAGCACAAAAAGGTACATCTACCATAAAATTTTAGCTCACCGTCGAGTTCATGAAGGAATTTGATTTTACGAACATTTTGAAAAAAAAACAAATGTCTGCAAAAAAAACGCATCAAAAGTATAAGAGATAGAAGCTGTATAGCAGTATAGTCATACTACTACACCGTTTCTATATTGTATAATTATGGTGTGGTTGTTGCAGACGGTTCTTTCTCCTGATTTTGTTGCAAAAGTAGATTTCTTATGAGCTCAGAATTTGCCAATATAATTCTTTTACATTCACTACAAATGATGGAGCAAACCATTCTCAACAAAATAAAACGGCTTCCAGCTCTCTACCATGTTTTTTTGTTTAAAATCAGTCAATATTACGACAGGCACAAAAACTGTCGTTTTGTGCGAAATACCAAGTAAAAAGCATGTTTCCTCCCGTAAAGTAAATCTATCTCAGTTAAAAAACTTGGTAAAGAATTTTTCGCTCAAACCTTTTGGATGACTCAAGGAAAATTATATTTACAAATTTTAAGAGCTAAAAAACTTGCGAGATAATTATTCCAAGTGTTTCCGAGCTTTTGACCTCACCTGTTGGCTATAAGTAGATTTTAGTAGAGTTAAGAAAACGCTAAAAGCGTTCCTACCCATGGCTCTTTCCTCCGAAGATATGATCAAATGTGTGTCAAATAGATAGACCTTCGGCAGTTCCATATAAATTTGGATCTTGAGAACTATTTCAACAGTTGTTTGATAGTAAATGATATATATAGCAGCTCTTTTAACAGAAATGATCGCTAAACCTAGTTCTTGAGAGAGAATCGGGTCCTGGAACTGAGAGCTGCCATAGGTCTACAAACAGTGATGGACCTTTAGTGCTACTTTAGAACATAAAAATAAACAGATCATTTTCTTTTAAAAATTAAAGGAATAAAAGATTCTCTTTATGATAAATAATCCTGTGGAGAGAGATCTAAGACCAAAGAATTTTGAACCAGAAAGATTTTTATCATTTAGAAAATGTATTTTGATAGAAACACTCTAAATAAAGGTAATAAATATAGAAAATGAGGGGAAATAAGTGATAGAGATGCTCTCTCTATGACTTGCTTTCTATTTTAAGAATTTGTTGCTCTAATTCTATTTAACTTTCTCTCGCGCAACCCCGTCCTATTATCATGCACTGCCTTATCCTGTCCTGCCCTGGTATAGGGATGCTCCAGTTTCGGTAATCGGATGATCTAGTTAACTGGCTTTGATTTAGCTGATTCAGTAGTATTTGAGCTTTCTTTCAACTGACGGGAGAAAAGTCGTACGAAATAAGATGAGTTTGCGAGATTCCTTCCACGCGTACGGGCACGTATGCACACATGTAAAAACTTAGAGCAGTTTTTTCAAATGAAAGCTTTTTCATGTTGAGAGTTCAGTCAATCATATGTTTTTCGCTATTCAGCTAATGTTCAATGAGGCTTTCATGTGAATGTGTCAATGGAGTAATTGTGGAATGGGTACAGTTGTTGCCATGGCGAAATAGATTGTGGATGTATAGATTCACTGCAACGTCTGTCGATGTGAATGTCGTGGCCGGATGTCGAACTGTGACAGCTTACAGTCCTATGAATCCCTTGTTTTTTTCTTTGAGAACTGGCTCAGGTTCTAGTGGCCAGTTCTTTTTATACGGACCCGATGCACTGATAGCTATAATGTACCCATTCCACACTCATAATCAAATCTACTCTGACACACAATCCTGATCGAACGAGAGCTAGATTTCGAGAACATTTGATTGGCTGAACTTCCAGCATGAAAAAGTCTTTATTGGATGGATGTGGAACGTGTGTGTGCGTGTCTCTCCTCGTTACCTACAACAACACTTACACTCACACCTGCAGTGAATATCTCAGCAACACTCGTGCGATTTCTCTCTCTTACTGTTTCATTTTCAGAGTATAATCGGTAATAAATTCATATATTTTCAACGGAAAATGATCGAACCAACCTCAAACAAGAGTTTAAGAGCCCTATTAATTTATCTAAAAAGTCAAGATAATGACTATCCTTCTGTACGTTTTCTTTTTGTTACGAACGATGGTTATAATATTTTCAATGAAATTATTTTCAGTCTCTAATTTCTGGACATACATCTAGGCAATATACAAGATATGAATGATTTTGTCTTAATTCCAAGAGACGATGAATTTGTATGAATTACACCATATAACATAAATCAAAGATAAACATTGATTACTATCCCCGTAATGTTTTAAGAAATTGAAATATTTTATCAAAAATACAGATGAAGAATAGAATGAAAATTAACAGTTCAGATATTATTTTTGAACAAGCATGGTTTCATTTAGATGTTCTACGAAAAACTTTCTTTCCACCTAGTGATAGTTTTACTAGTAAAGAAATAGTTTTATATCTCTTTTGTAGATTAATCTTTCAAGCAGATAAGTAGTTAGAAAAATCAGCGTGGTATTACATTCATTATTGACAATATGAGTTTTTTTTTTGAAGAACTCTATAATGTGGGAAGACAAGAAATCTGACATATTAAAAAAGTGAACTGGAGAACAAAAAAAAACATAACATGACGCAACTTTATTGTAAAATAATGTCCTTCTAGATGTAGGTACGTATCGTATTCCTTATAATTAATCCAGAAAACACCACTAAAATGATATATTTTTAGAGATGTAAGTTGATCGGCTGCGCTTTCCGTGATAGTTATTAAATTTCTAAGAAATATCAATCGCCAATACTCAAGAGGTTTAGCCATGTCTCCGAAAGATGCGTTGTAGATCAAGATAATGACATATTTCACGAGTTTTACCTAACTGCATTAAATCCAGCGAATAGAAAGACAAAAAATACGAAATAATTCAAAAGAATATTTTTCGCTCAATTCAAAATATAATTCATATTTTTGTCCATTCACATTAATTGAATGAATTAATTTAAAAAAAAGACAATGATTTGTATCATAACGACATATGTATACTATTCAATATGTCACAAACATTTAACATCAAAATTTTTCATCAAAGTTTAGATGCAATCTTCTCAAATTTATATTTCATACATTTATTTTCTTTTTTAACAAAACAAGAAGCCATCTCTCTTATTCTCTTCTGACTTGCGTAAATAATATGTTTTGTCTTCTATTGGGAACTACATCGACCTGTATATCTTCATAGAATCATACAGATATACGAAATCTAATGCTTAGAAAAATATCTTTTTCACCGATATCGTTTTCTATGTACTGCATTCACATCTATTTCTTCAATAATTATAATTTTTCTTCAAATTATTGTATGTTTAGGTGCCATTATATAGATTATACATTGAAAATGAAATAGGTATAGGCATTGATAAATATATACGCGTTAGTATGTAGAATTAATATGAGTGAAGTAAAGGCTTGCTTTTTTTTCATTCCTTCTCATATTTTAGAGACAAGCATTTGTTTTATATTTGAATGCTCGAAACTTTTTTTTATACAAGGGGCTTAATTGTTCTTACAGAAAGAAAAAAAAATATCAACGTTAGTTTGTTTTGTTTTAAAGTTTTTATGCATTTTCATTTCTGAAATGCTCTTGTTTAATTTTAGACTAATGTCTTGGAATTTGAAAATCATACCAAACAATCTTAGATAACGATGAAACTTTATTCAATTCATGTTAAAGACAATGAAAATTGTGTTTTCATTGTAATTATAAAAAGAATATATTGGACGCTAAACTTATACACGCAACTTAAATGAATTGATTAAAATATTAATTTAAATTTAATTGAATAGTAAGTTAGTTAATCTATAGTGATATTGTTCACGAATTAATTGTTTATTATTAAGTTACAGAGATCTTGTCTTCTTAGGTCGAAATGGATATGAACAAGTGAAAACCCATTCCTTGAGTTTGCTATAAACTAATTATCTAACTCGCTGATTTTAAAATATTAACAATGAATAAAGAAAATAATGTCGTAGTAGTCCTAACTGACTGTAAAGCATAATTAGCTGCACGCAAGCAAAAAAGAAACAACTTCTTTAAACGTAACATGTTTTAAATGTATATCCTAATGGTTCTGTCACTTCCATATACTTACGAGAAAACTATCACTAGTGACATCCACCGATTGAACTCATAGTCGACTCACAAGTAGATTTCACTGAAAATAGAAAAATTCTAAAAGAATTCGTTACTGATTTACTAGATTTTTGACTTATTTTAGGTACTTCTTAAAAGACTGAGTAACAGAGTATTGATTATAAATGTTCTCTATTGATAGTTCTAATTACTCGTAGAGTATTCTGAAAGTTTCAGTGCACAAGTAAAGAATAGCCACTTTAATATGAGACTCTATTATACAAAAAAAAATGACTATTTGTATTAAAATAAACCTTTATAGTGAACCATTGAAATCCGCTGTATCTCTTGACATAAGCATGTTAAATTGAGGCAGTTATTTAATCAATCAGTAGGAGGAGATCATGGCGAGGGCAACTTCTTAGCTGTTTCATATATCCCAGATCTAATTCTATTTGATCATATATGACTAATTAACATGTTTGTCATATTTTATTTGTAACGACAAACTGGACAAGTACTTTACGACTACCTTCGGTAGTAATCTCTATTATGTCTCTACTTCATATATAACACAATTTTATATAGACGTGAGTGAAACACATGAGTATAGGAAAAGAACATTAGAAAGAAAGATCATCGTGAAGTACTGTTCCTATCTGCACATCCTCATAGTAGGTTTCATTTTAAACGATCGTCATCGATGTTTAGCAAATATTCTGATAGATGTCGCTTTACTCTTTGAAAAAATATCTTTTATTAAAGATCATAATTATTTTGTTTTAATATTAATCAAAAAATATTTGAATATTAACTTTAAATTAAAAAAAAATATAAATATCAAATTATCGCCATCTATCAATACGATGTTTATTCAATTTTTTTCCTAATTTAACCATAATTTCCTGGATTGATTGAGATATATTTCTAATCAAAATATTCTTTCTAAAAGAAAAACAAAAAAAGAAACAAAACAAATATTTTTTTATTAAACTAATTCATTATTTTGTTGTTATTAATTACATTTATTTAATTAATTTATCTTATTTTTCAAATCTATATTAATCATGTCGGAATCTTTTATCTTAAGTATGTTCAGTTTAGCCATGTTTCTTGGCTCATATTTATCTGGTCTTATTCCACTTGCATTCAATCTTTCTGAAGTAAGTTATTCATTTTATTAATCAATTAATAAAAAAAAACAACAACAAATTTTTTTTTTTGTCTAGACTAAAATGCGTTATGTTACTGTACTTGGAGCTGGTCTATTAGTTGGTACAGCATTAGCTGTTATTATACCAGAAGGTGTTCATGCACTTTATATGAGTGAATTAGAAACAAATCAAATGCAAACTCAACATGAATTTCATTCGGATCATAAAATAGTTCGTCGACATTTAAATCAAATTGAACATGATGTTAAAGTTCCAATTCCACATGATCCTAAAATAGATAATGATATAAAAGGTGATATTTTACCACCAGCTCATCAACATACAGCTGATAGACCAAGAGAATTAGGTTCAGAAATTGGACATAAACATTCAGATACAACACATTCAGCTATTGGTATTTACATTTCTAACATATATATATATATTAAAGAATTCATTTTAATTTTAATTTTAGGTGTAACACTTATTCTTGGTTTTGTATTTATGCTTATTATTGATAATTGTGGTTCAAGAATTATTCGACATCATGGAAATCAAAGTATTTTATAATTAATTATAAAATAAAGTTATTTAAATTTATTTTTATTAGTTCTAGATTCATCGAATACAATTATTATATCAAAACCCAAACCAACATGGACAGCAACATTAGGTCTTGTTGTACATGCAGCTGCTGATGGTATTGCATTAGGTAATAGATAACAAACCGTAGCAATCATATTTCTTGAAATAGAATTTCTTTTTTCCGGAGATAAAATCTAAAGAATTTAAAAAAAAAATTTAGATGAAGAATAAGTTAATATCATTTAGTATAAATATTCTGTTTTGTTTTAGTCGTACATAGAAAAGATTTTTGCTTAATATTGATTCATAAGTGCACTTAAGTGATCTACTCAATCGTAGATACTTTTTAATAGATTTAAATGAAAAGAAATTCAAGGTAGATCTGTACCATTAACTGCATTTATTGCACAGGTATATAGATAATGTCAAAATCGGAACATCAGATATCCATTGATTTTAATGGCATTGCTTAAAGATATACATATGGACAGTAAAAACTATTTCTTGTTTGTGAACTTTTTTTTATTATCTCAAATTGTCTATCTCTATGGTAACAAAATCAATGTTGGAAAAATTTCGAGTAAGGTAAGATAAAAATAACATATTTAACTCTTCAAACTAACGAACTTTTTTTTTTTATTGATGATATTCTTAATAATGAAATTTTTTTACAAGAAAAACAAAATCTATTTTAGGTGCAGCATCAGCAACAAGTCGATTTAATGTTGAATTAATTGTATTTATGGCAATTATGCTTCATAAAGTAATCATTATTATTCTTTCATATTAACCCTTAAGAGCCGAATGTCCCTTCCAAGGGACATTTAAATAATTGTAATCAAAGTCTTATAAATATGTTGTAGACAAAAACCAATATTATTCTGGATTAATATGACTTTCGAGGCCATACCTAGACCAAAATGTAGTATTCAGGTGGCTGTTAGGCGTAGCAAAACACCTTTTATGACTGATGACATTTTTCAATAACATCTTTCTTTCCTAAAGTTGTATCTATTCCAGAGACCGTCACAGGGCAGTTTTTTTATATCCTGTCCTGTTCTTGCCCAGCCATAATGATGATTCATAATATTTTTTTCTGTCCTGCCCCGCCCTGAGGGCAGGGCAGGGCGGCCCTGAACTTGGAAATCCAGCTTAAATTAGGAAATATCTAATAGCTTTAAAAAACCTCGTATTGGTAAATTTTTAATCATTTGTTTAATTCGATCCGATTGAAATTTATTTGTATCGATGAAGTTAGAGATGGGGTGAAAGTAGAGATCTCAATATGTGTCTACCTTTCATTTAGTTTATGCGCAAAATTAAGTGGTAAGTAATTTATATTTATTGTAAATATAAATTATTTCGTTACAAAGTTTATATTACAAATCAATATAAATTCTAATAATTTACAACGATTTGTAAATATAAATTTTGCAATAAAATAATTTACATTTATAATAAATATAAATTTCTTACAATTCATATTTATTATAAGGTAAACGGTAAATGACGCCCCAAAGTAAAAGTGATTTATTATGATAATAATGATATTGTTTCGGAGTTCAGTGCTGAAAAATATTTATCAACATGTTGTTTAAAACATTTGAAACAACTATGAAATTCAGGAATTCTTTCTAACAGATGATTACTTAATTATACTGGATAACCAAATACTCTTCACCATCTAACAGCAGGTGAAGATCCGTTCTTTATTATTTGATATTTCGATCTTTCAGTCAGTAATCGATATTTAATCGTTGCAGTATCGAATGAACTCATAATATATGACGGCAGATTAAAATATCGAAGATAAAAAACTCAATGAAATAATTGAAACTAGAAAATTTGAAGAAACTAGAACATTGGCATGTTTTTAAACTTTTATATGAAGTATGCTGTACAAAACTACGGTCATTTATGAAACTATTTGGAAGAGGAATATATGAATATACTTAACAAAAAAACTGAATCTGTCTCTTATATAATTCTGCATCATTGTGAAATGCTTTTTCTTTCCTCTTCAAATCATCTGTATGTTTCTATGTGAAATATAAATGGATTATTTGATATCCAATATAATAATAAAAAATTGTTCCAACTAGGTACAATGCCAAAAGTTATGATAGTCAGTTTATAGCGATATCAATTACAATTGCTCATAATATCAACATATCAAAATTATTTACTAGAAAAATCTGTTTCAAATAACTGTCTCGAGAAAAAAGAATAACAGGGCAAAAATGTTTTGCCCTGCCCTGTGACGATCTCTGATCTATTCGGAAATGCGACATACAGTGTAGTTTATTTTACGTTACACTCTTAAGCCTATCATCAAGCTATGCAATGTCAGCGTTCTAGAATATTTTAACCGATCTACTGACAGATTGTGCCCTGATCAATAAAAAATTCCTTCGATGAGACATTCAGCCTCATAGAAGAATCAAAACAATGTATTTCTAACATGAAACTTGGCTCATACATAGTCCTAGTAGTGTTTATGAAGTTTCAAAATTTTCACGAACAACTGTTGTTTCTTTCGTGAGATACAGAATGTTGAAGTTTTTAGCTGGTTTTTGGATTTTGAATATCTCAGTAAGAAAGCATCCGTTCTAAGTTAAAATTTCGGAACATATTAAGTATTATCAAAACTATCTAAAGGCAAAGTTTCAGATCGAAATTCCTATTTTTTCGAATTTTTACAGGGATGGATATTCCTGCCAAAGGAGGTTGCGTAGATCCAGAATAAGAAGAAGGTAATTATTTTTAACTATAGTACGAGTATACTGAGGGTCCATAATCTCTGTTTTTCTAATTAGATTCTCATTTTTATAAGCGAAAGCCACTTCGGCTCTTAAGGGTTAAATATTAGATAATTGTTGTATTTTTTGTTTTTTCTTTTGTTTTTTTTTATAGGCACCAGCTGCATTTGGTCTCGTTTCATTTTTAATGTCTGATGGTGTTGATCGTAAACGTATTCGACGTCATTTATTAGTCTTTTCTTTAGCTGCTCCTTTAATGGCTATATTTACTTTTGTTTTATTAAAAAGTGTATGTTTAGTATTTTTTTTTTCTTATTTTAAAGAAGTTTTCTTTTGTTTTCTGGTTGTAGAGAATTCGTGACACATATTCAGTTGATTCAACTGGTTTAGCTATGTTATTTAGTGCGGGTACATTTCTATTTGTTGCAACAGTACATGTTTTACCTGAAGTACAATCTCATTATGAAGATCGACAATTTCGTGCCATTGAACTTCTTATACTTATTATTGGATGTTGTTTTCCAATTATTCTTTCAATGGGACATAAGCATTAAAAAGAATTCTGTTTTTTGTTTTGTTTAAATTGTTCTTGTCAAATTATATATGAATATACTATGTTTTTTGTTTTCTTCTATTTAAAAATCAGAATAAAAATCTAGTATTATTGTTGTCTTTTGTTTTTTTCTTTTTTAGAGAAATTTTTCTATTTTGTTTTCCAATGGCTGATGATATATATGTTGTGGAAAAAATTCTTAATAAACGAATACTTGAAAATGGTGAAATAGAATATTTTTTAAAATGGTTTGGTTATAATGAAGATGAAGCAACATGGGAACCAGAAGAAAATGTTTTTTGTAAAGATTTAATACAATTATATGAAAAAAGTGTAAATATAAATGAGAATATAGTAAGTTAAAAGAAAATGAATTTTTTTTCTTTTTTGTTTATTAATCAGCTTTCTTTTTAGGATGATGAATGTAAAGTAATTATTTCTGAAATTCTCGGTGAAATTGAAAATCTTGATGAAACAGGTAATTTTATCATATAAATAATTAATTAGAAAAGAGAAATAGCAAAACTTCAAGATCAAAGTTCTCGCTGTGTTTCTCTCTCTTGAGATGAGTATGTTTTCGTTAGATTGATACAATTTTAATGGATTAGTTTCACAAATGCTTAGTATATATTAATAACCATCTTACTGTAATAGGAAATCTCGAGTATTCTAGGAGAATCTTATTTTTTTTATGAAATATGCATAATTAAGGAAGATATCCTGAAAAATTGGAACTATTTGAAACGATACTTAAGGATTATTAAATTACAATTTTTCAATGACTTTCTATTATACTCACCAGGGAACATATCCAACTGTTCAATCGCTTTTGAACCGAGCATTGCGCAAACGATAGACCTTAGTGAGTTATTAAATGCTCTAGAATAGTTAGATTTTTCAGCCTTCTGTTGTAGAGTGATGGGCCTTTGATTTTGGCTTATGGTCATAAGATTCTTCTGAGTACCTGAATGATCGAATTTCAAACTGAAATTTTGCCCATAAATAGATTTTATAAGTGCTAGAAACTCTTCAAAGTTTGAGTCAGAATGAATATATCCTTATCGAGATATTCACATTTTAAAGAAATGTCTGTTAGGAGTTCTGCCTCAAAATAGAGACATTTTCATGACAAGCTGATATCTCGATTAGGATAAGTTCGTTCTAGCTTAAATTTTGAAGAGTTTCTAGCGCTTATAAGATGTATCTATGGGTAAAATTTCAGTTTGAAATTCAATTATTCAGAAGAATCTTATGACCAGTAAAAGATCTATAACTCGACAACAGAAGGCTGGAATACCAAACCATTCTAGAACATTTAATAACTCACTAAGATCTATCGTTTGCACAATGCTCGGTCCAAAAGTGATTGGACAGTTGGATGTTTCCTTGGCAGATGTATTTCGATTCATGTAAATAATTTATTCTAATAAAATTTCTTTTTTCAGTTCAATTTAAATTTTGAAGAAATTCGAACTGAATCCATTTCTAATATACATACACACAGTGTGATTCATTGCCCTATTCAAATACAAAAAAGAAAATCTTTTTTTTTTCTTTTATTCTATGATTGTACATATTTGTATATTTGATTTAATGTTTTGCAAAGAGAAAAGTTTAAAAGTAAATTTATTTATCTAATTAATATTTTTATTCATAAGGATTCTATGTTATTTTTCTATTAGCTTTGCATACATGAAAAAACAAAAATTCTTATCATTATTTTTCTTAATTTTTCAGTTTCTTCAAACAATGTAAGTATGGATGATCTAGCAAATAGTTATTGTTTACCATCCACTAATATATCTACTACTGCAACAATTGATGAAAATCCAAGTACTGATAAATCATTATTGTCCGATTTTCAAAGTATGAAAATTTTTCAATAAACAAAAACAAAAGTGGTTTTTTTTTTCTTTTATTTTTAAATTTAGATGAAAAAGAAAATGGTTTATCTACAACTAATGATACAGAAAATGGTATATTGAAAAAAAAAACACACATACTAAAATATTTTTTGTTTTTCTTATATCTAGACGAATCACAATTAACACAGAATAATTCAAACGTAAGATATTAGAAAAAAAAAAAAGAAGAGATTTAATAAAATAAAATTTATTTATTTTTTAAGTCAACACCTAATACGAAACGTCGTAAAAAACGATCAAGAGCAGCATCATTTACTCGTAGAAAAAAACCTCGACCTGATTCTATTAATCATAAATCAACTATGGTTGATGAGAATGCTAATGATATTCAAAGACAAGAACGAAAAGAAATACAAAATAATACAATAGATTATTTGTCACTTGAACCAGAACGTATTGTTTCAATAACACGTTCACGTTTACCAGCTGAACAACTTGAATTTCTTTTACAATGTAAAACTAGTCCAACAAAATTATATTTTATTTCAAATGATAAAGCAAAAGAACTTGTACCCGATTTATTAATTGAATTTTATGAACGACATATTAATTGGTTTATGGATAAACCATCATCATCATCATCATCATCACCATCATCATCATCAAGACAAAAAAAATCTAAACGAGAGAGCTATTCAAATCATAGAAGTAATACAAATAGAAAAAAGTCCTAAAAATATATACATATGTATCATTTCTCATTTTTTTTTCTTGTTGTTGTTGTTGTTATTATTGTTGTTCATTTACTCTATTATAATAGTGTACAAAACAAAAAAAAACAAAAGAATTTTCTTTTTTTGTGTATATTCTAAAGAAGAAAAATGTTCGATAAAGATAAGTTTATGAAAAATAAAGCAATGCAATGAATTGTAATGAGTTATTATATGTAAACGAGAGATCAAGAATGCTACTGATGGAAGAATATTTCCTATTGTATATTTTTATTTATACAATATATACATATAACATGTTACTGTAAAAGTCTTCAAGACGATATTATTTGTCTCAAAACTTACTTTTGAAAAACAGAAAAGATTATTGACTTGTAGATAATTCGATATGTTCTACACTCTAAGTACTTTAAAAAGTTGCATGTTACTCTGAAGAATCAGCATATAAAGTACCTGCTTGAGATATTGGATTAGTTATGAGAGTTAATAATATTTCATTGAATAATTTTACTTGGTTCGGACTAAAACTTTCACATTTTATTAATTCATAAAATAAAGAATCAACCGTAATGAATGATCGATTTTTTGTATTTCGATCAATTTTAATATTGCAAACACATGATTCTTTCGAATACAACGAATTTCTTACCAATTCAAGAACTATAGTTTTTAACATTATTCAATTTAGTAATGTATTTTTGAATAAAATGTACTAACGAGGGAACATTCTCAACTGTCACATCGCTTTTGAGTCGAGCGTATGCGTATCGTGTAGGCCCTAATGATCTATGAATACTCTGAAAAAAAGTTCGTACTACTAGCTTATTACTGCCGAGATATTGCATTTTTACTGCGTGTTTAAGAAAAAAAGCCGTAGAGTTTATTGTCAAAGTTTCAGATCGTTTTGTTGTTCCTATCTTAAGATACAGCTCTATGGTAAAATCGCTTATATACACCATCAGATTCCGATGTTCTTATTTCAGACTAGGAGCAATCAAAACATCTGAAACTTTCATAATAAACTATTCTCACTGAGACTTGTCTTTGTGCAAAGCTTCAAGGCGAAATTCAAAACTCAGTTTTCCTAGTGTTCCTGAGGGGGGGGCCACGGCTTTTTTTCTTAAACATACAGTAAAAATGCAATATCTCGGCAATAATAAGCTAGCTGCACAAACTTTTTTCAGAGTATTCATAGATCATTAGGGCGTACATGATGCGCATACGCTCGACTCAAAAGCGATGTGACAGTTAGGAATGTTTCGTCATAAGTAATAAACATACAAAAACCCATCATTGATTTATGGATTAACAAAAGAGTAAACCATCTGTAATATCTAATATTTGGCCAATGTTGTAGGATAAGCGAAAGTTTTCATTCAACAGAAATTTTTGATTATCAATATCTAATACAATAATCAGTACTGTCCGGCTGTGAAAAACAGTTCTCTCCAAGATAATCCATTTTCTAGTGATTCAAATTCGAATAGAAAACACTTTCTACAATTATTTAAAGTTGCAATAAAAAGTCGTAAGAGCTCCGTTTCCTAAAAGAATCTTAAAATTAAAATATATTATTATTGTTTTTGTCTTGAATAATATCAATTTTTAAAATCTTATTTCTAGGTTGATATTCCAAATAAAAAAAAAAGAGAGAGAGAACCAACACAAACATCATAATCAAAGAAAACGAAAATTCATGATTGAATGTTGAATAATGTTATTGTTTTTTTTTTTTCAATTAATCTATTTGTTATTTTTTATCTTTTTCAACTGTTGATGAACTAGTTGTTGTTGTTGTTTGTTGTTGTTGTTGCTGCTTTTGTCTATCTGCTTCTAATTTACTCTGTTCATCTTCATACTGTTTAATTAATGTTGTTAATTCATCATCTTTTAACATTCGTATTGTTGTTTGATTTGTTTTATCATCATGTTGTAAAACAGCTATTTCAATTTTGTCCGGTGATAATTTTGTTGTATCAAGTGTTTTACTAAATACTCTTATAGCTAAACGTAATGCATCATTTAATTGTGTTTCATCTATTTTATATTCTTGTTTAAGAATTGATATAGCCGTTTGTGAATTATGACCAACACATGTTGCTTTCCATCCACCATAATTTCCACTTGGATCTGATTGATATAATTGATAACCATAATGTTTATCCCAACCCATATAAAGAAATGATACACCAAATGGACGTTTACCACCAAATTGTGTATATGCTTGTTTTATATTACATAAATGTGAAACAATATATTCTATAGGTGCTGGTTCTTGATAAGTTAATAAATATCTAAAATCAAAAAACAACTTACAAAATTTATATTGTTTTATTAAATATTACCGTTGTCCAATCATACGTAATTCATTAATTAATACATTTGCATCACTGGTTATACCAGAAACTGAACAACAAAGATCATCATGAATTTTATAAATTTTTTCTGAATATTTAACATCATCAAGTAATGGACTTATATTACGTTTTTCACCGGCAAGTACAACACCATTTTCAGCAAGAATACCTAATGATGCACCAGCATGTGATATTGCTTCAAGAGCATATTCAACTTGATATAAACGACCTTCAGGAGAAAATATTGTTGCACGTGTATCATATCGACGAGCCATTATTTCTTTTTGTTTTACTTTAAATCTACAATTAATGACATATATATATTTATATAATGACAAACATTTATACTGCGTATATAAGAGAAATTCGAGAAAAAGAAAAAAAACAAATATTAAGTAAGGAAAATACACATTGACAAAAACACAGATCGAAATTTTGTACAAAAACTTTTTTTTTTGCTTTGGTATTATTGAGGATTTATATCTATATGACGACGTTTAGGTTTCTTTGGATTTCGTGAACGACTTTTAGCTTTACATATAGGACAGATAGGTGCATTACGATGAATTTGTTGTTGACATGATTGACAAGTCTAAAATAAAACAAATGATGTTATACATTGAACATGCTTTAGATTATTCGATTGAAAGAATTCATTAAACATTTTATATACACTTCTTATATCTAAATATTTCTTGATCTTGAAACAAATTGTCTTGGTTCAAAGAGAATTTTCAATTGATATCGATCGAAATAGACTAAAATCATTTTTAATCTATTTTTTAAAGCTGAATTAAACAAGTGAAATTTTATTCTGATCGTTTCTATCAACATTTCTTACATAGATTCTACATTCTCGTACCGTCTGACTAAAAATAGTATAAGTCCGTAAAATTGATCAGCAGACTTACCTTCATTGGTGGTGGTTGTTGTCTAAATGCTGATCGATCAATATTAGATCCTATACCACCAAGTACTTTTGATACATTTATTCCTGATGCTTGAGATTGATTATTATTTGATGTTCCAGTTGAGATTGGACCAGAATTATTTGTTTGTTGTGATGAATGAAATAATGGTAAAATTAATGAATGATGTTGTTCATGAGTATTATCCGATGTTGTTGTAGATAAATTTGAATTTCTATTTGATGTTATCAGATCATGATCAGTTGGTTGTTGAGAAATAAGTCTAAACAAAGACTTATTGAAACTAGAAGTCTTTTATAGACAAAAAAAAACAGGCTAATCCAAAGGTTCTTAATATCCTTAGACTCTCGTAAATATAATAAGATGTTTTATCAAAAGCACGGAGTGCGTGCTATCCCTTATTATTAAGTTTAAGGTCATTTTAAAACATCATCCTAAATATTCGAAGTTCATATTAATATATTGTTGAATATGAATTCATATAAATTTGACTTACTGCATTGTTAGTAAAGCAGCTTCATCATCTTCATTATCAGGAATTTTTTCAAGATTAAGCATTTCACGTAATTTATTAATTTGTTCTTTCATTGGTTGATAATCTTTTAGAAGACGTTTACTTTCTTGTAAGATTTTTATTCGTTCTTCTTCAGCTTGTTTTATTGTTGTTTCCATCTTAAAAATAAAATAAATAAAAATTTATTTTTTTTTTTCATACATACAATATTAATATCTGCATGAATTAATCGTAATTCTTCAATATGTGACATACGTTCTTGTACAAGCATATCAAGTTCTTTACGAAATTCACGTAAAACTTGATTTTCACGTGTAACTAAATCTGTATTTTGATTAAGATTTGTTTGAATACGTTGTAATTGATTTTGTTTTTCTCTATTTAAAAAAAAAAAAAACGAACAAAAAAATGAATATATATACTTTTTGAAAAATATACAAACCCTAATTCTTTAATTAAATCAAGTTTACGCATTGATAAAACTAAATCTCGTTCATCAATAGATGATGTTGATGATGGAGTTTTTTCTGTTGAATTATCCATTACAAAATTTATTTGAATTATTATTCAATAGAATATGTTATTTTTTTTTTTTTTAATAGATAGATAAATCAATGAAACAAATAAAGGTCAAATGAAATAATAACCAATCGAATAAGAGGACGCTAGTATAAAATATTATTTTTATAAGAAAATTTTACTTCAATTGAACTTTAAAAATTATTTTATTCATTTTTTTTTCAAAATAGATTCATTTGAATTTATTATTATTATTATTTTTTTTTTGATAGAGGTTGTTGTCAAGAGTGATTCATTTTTCAATGGTAGTGATTGATCAGAGAAGGGAAAGAGACAATTACAAATATTGAATAATATTTTAGTTTTCAATTTACAATGAGTATTGTCGAAGTTCAACAACAAGAAACTAATGCAAATAAAACAAATAATTCTTGTGTTTTACCACAACTTCGAGGTTTGATTTTTTTTTCTCTATGATTTAATAATTCATATATTATTATTTAGGACAATCACAAAGACCTGCTGGTCGAACAGAAAATGATTTTCTACCACAAGAACTTATGATTACTTTACGTCAAACAGCTTTACCAGCTGAATATTTAGGACCACCTGGTATAACAAATCCAAATAAACTTTTAAGACCAATGCCATCTGTAAAGAATTTTATATTTTGATTAATTAAAATATTTTTTTTTTTTTATTATATAGACAGTTTCACGTCGTCCAGATAATGCTTGGCATTATCAAAGACAACGAGATAAATATCGTTTTTTACTTGAACAAAATCCATGTACATGTGGAGCTGGACAGTAAGTTATTATGTCCATAGACACAATATATATATATATATATTGCTTATTTAGTGATATATCATTTTTATGTGAAGCTACAACAGTAGCTTTGACACAGGAACAACAAAATAAATCATCTACTCAACAACGAACTACTGATAAAAGTGCTATACGAGCTAAACGAAATGAATTACAACAACAACCAGTTTGTTATATATATAAAAACATATATCAAATTACATTATATTTGAATTTAGGATATCGTATTACCTGAATCAATCATACCAGAAGAATTTCGTATAGTTAAAAATATTGGTGTTACACCTATTGAAGTTCATGATGAGTAATTATTTTGTTATGAATAAATCATATTTATCAAAATTTGATTTCTATTCTAATAGAAAACATACAACTATTACTGAAGAACATGTTAATCATATAACTGTATTTCCATCATTGTAAGAATAAATAAATTGAATATGATGATATAATATATATATATATATATTTATCTCTTATAGAAAACCAGTTGGACGTACACAAGTATTAAAATTACGACATACAATGGATGCATTATTAGAAAAAATAACTATTGAAGATAGTGATTTACATGGACAAACTCAAGTATTGATTTATTTTTTATTCAAAATAGAATTATTTATTTTGATTTAAATAATTTTTTTGTAGCTTCATAATTTACTTGAATTAATTAAAGAAGAACAAAATATTTATAATATTGTCTTTCATGAAATAATTCGTCAAGTAAATGTTTTTTATATTAATATTTTTATTTTTATTTTTTATTTGATTAAGGTCAGTGTTGAATGTAAAGATCGTGGTGAATTATTAAGTAAATTACGTGAACGATATTCATCTTTATTATCACGTGTACCTCGACAAATAAAAAGGTTTAATTTAGTTTTATTTTATTAATAAACAAAAAAAAAGAAAAAACTTTTTCTTTCTCTTTTCCTTTAGTTTACATGAAGAATTAATTGCTCAACGTGCACTTGATCGTCGTTTATCTGAACAATTAATTCAATTTAAATCAACTGTTGGTACACTTATGTTGTATGTAAAAATAATGTTGTTGTTTTTTTTGATTTGTAACGACGATTTTGAAACCATATTTTTATTTGTGTTGGTGATAAACCAATACGCATTGATATAATAGAACGTTCTTGTGCTGAAACATATTTTTGTTCAGCAAATAAACGTTCTAATTCAGCAACTTGCCATGATGTAAAAAGAATACGTGTACGTTTTTTATCATGAGATGAATTCGATTGTATAGATGAACAATCAATTTTATTTGTATTTGAAACTTTTGCAACACGTAGTAAAGTTGCATAATCACATGTTTTTAAATCAACTAGAACAAAAAGAAAAGAATAGACATAAAGGAAATTCTCAGATTTTATACTATTCGAGTGAAGAATCGATAGGTTCTATATCGTTATTAACCGTCAACTTAAAATTTTTCATTTGAGTTCATATTAGAACCATAAGTAGGTCTTAGTAAAACATTTTAGTTATCTACTAGAAAATTGAATAACAGAATTTCTAAGAGTCAATTGACTTTTTTTTTTACGGGTAGAATCTTAGGACGAAAATGTTCTTATAAACTTAAACAATATGTTACAACTAGAGTTGTTTTGTCGTCAGTTATAGTTTCAATAAGTTAATATCCATTCATTGTTATTTAGTTATTAATCATCATAGGTTAATATAACTGATAGTTTTTTTAATAGGATTCTAATCTTTTTTTTTGTTTGCCGGTAAATAAAAATATGATTTCCAATAAATTACCTTGAATAGGCAATGGATTACATCGAATAGGTTTAGGTTTAACAATTCGATGAGATGAAGATGTTGTCGACATAACTATATAAATAAATGTATGTGACAATACCACTCGTATGTTCTTTAATGCCTTGATGAAGAGAAAGCCATCATTGCTTTATGTGTATAGTTTATTTACCTTTGTCCATATGTTACTATTATGTGTTAGTTATTGAAGCAATTCTCGAACAATTCAATTCTAGCACATACACTTGTTCTGTGACATGTAAACATAATTAATCTCATAATCAAGAAGATGATAATCATGCTTATCTTTTGTTTATTCTTATTTATAGAGAATTGGAAGATGTTCGTGAACATGATCGACGTGTTACTGAAGAAGCTGAAATAGCTCAAAGAGATGTAAGAATTATTTGTTGTGTTCCTTATTTTCTTTTTTCCTTGTATTAACAATCCATTTACTTGTAGTAATTTAACATGTTTTTTTTTTCTTTGTATCAGAGTAAGCGCTTACTGCTATTTAATTGCTCATTTGATTATTGATTGTTTTAAATAAAAAGAAAAAAAAAAAAAAAAGTCAAATTTTCTTTAGCTTCAAACAGCTTTAACTGAATCTCAAAAAAATGCTTCACTTCTTACTGAATATCATGAATTATATGATTTACAACGTAAACGTTTGGAAAAACAAACTAATGTTATTGCATCTGAAAAAGAATTATGGCGTGGAGCAGCACATACAATTGCTCTTAAAGTAAATTTTTTTTTTTTAATTAATTTAATCGATACCATATATGTAATTTTTGTAGAACAAATTACAGTATATCAGATAGTATATAAGAAATCATTGTTAGAAAATATTATAGAGTAGTCATAGACATTGTATTTCATAGGATATTTTAAAACAAACATATGCAACTTTTTTTTTTTAAAGATGCAATTCAATACAATTATAGATGTTCTTCAATTCTTTATAATCAATAGTTTTCATCGTTGCTTTCTTCATACATTAAAATTAATAGGATCGCTGAACATAGTTAATAAACTGATCTCTTCATATAGACAAATATCGATCTATAACACATCAAAACTTTCATATAACTTGATTTCTTACATACTATTTAATGCACTGTAATTTGCTCTACAAAACAACATATATGATATTCTGGTTCGGGATATATTATCAAAACTGGAGTAGTCCTCTTTTTAAAATAAAAATGGTGCTTTTTTTGTTTAAAGGTTATTGTTGAATATAAATTAGCTACATCAAAACGTTTAAGTCTTGCTGAACAAACTTGGTATACATTAGCTAGTCATTTTTCGATTTATCTTATGGATAAAGATACAATTGAATTAACTGATGTACAAAAATCTGCAAATGTATGGCGTGAAATTGTTGAAACATTTGATCGTGAACAAGAACAACGTGAATTTGAAACAACAAAAAATCTTAATCGTCTTAGTAAATCTATTGAAACACTTCGAAATACATTTCGACAAAATCATTTGTATGTTTTGAAAGAAAAAAAAATTGTTTTTTTTTTTTTTGCAAATAGTTTTTTCGTTTAAAGTGATTTGGAAGGAAAACTCACTCAAATACCTGATCAACGAAAAACAATTGAATATTTAAGTCAAATTAAACTTTGGGAAGAATCCTGTACACGTGAAATAGAAAAATTTGGTGGTGATACTGTACTTATTAATGAAGAACGTATGAAAAAAGCTGATAGACAATTAAAAAAATGGATTGAAATGACAGAACGATTATTTAGTCGTCATCCATCAACAAATAGTGGAGATCATAGTGAACAACAAGCACTTCGAGATCTATTTGATGTAAGAATTTTTTTTGAAACTAATTATAGAGAAAACAAAAATTTTACAAATATTTATATTTGTTTTTTTTTTTTTCTAGAATATTTCTCTTTTACATTCCCAATATCGTATACGAATGACAGGTGAAAATGGTTTAGCACAATCAGTTATTTTTTTTAGTAATGTACTCGAATCATGGAATGGTAAATTTAATACATATGCTTATAGCGGAGGAAAAATAAATGAAGGTGAATGGCTAGGATTTTATTCACAAATGGATGAATGGATTGATACAATGAATAAAGCAGTGACTTTTGTTGGAAAATCAACAAAAGATAATCATGATGATAATAGTGGAGAAAAGAAAGAAAATGACACTAAAAATGTGTAGGTATTAATTGCTATTCCTTAAAATTAATTTTAGTTTGGTAGGTATAATATTTTCATAATATATTCATCAAACAACGGTCAAAAATAGCGCAGTTATGAAGTTCCACAAAAAAATAGAGTTAACTGTTACATTCATCCATTTATGAGTATTATGAATACTGGCAATTATAGAAACATCCATAGAAAGATCTCGTGTACCTGACTTACGCGATGATGTTCATAAGTGAAATTTAGACATGGATTATGATGAACATCAATATAAATTAATGATTAAAATACTCAAAGATACGATGCTATGTACAATATTTTTTTTGTTTTAGTGTGCAAGCTTCAGCAGTATTACAACAAGCTAATAAAGGTCTTGTTTCTCTTCGTCATTATGTTGAAAGTCATAATGGTCGTATTTCGGATGAAGTAATTTATTTTGATTGTCAAACAAATATTTTTTTGATCGAATTTTTTTTGTGTCTAAAGTCTCTTCAACTTGATTCTAATATGGTTCATTGGCTTATTCAAATTCTTATTGATCTAGCTCCGAATCAATCCACATTATCCCAAGAAGGACATGATCATCTTGAAGCAAGTCGTATACCAGTTGAAAATTTAATCAAAACACAAAAAACTTTATGTGAACAATTAAATTCCATAACGAAATATATTGTAAAGTAAATGACAACATTTGAAATGTGAATTCTGATTTAAAAAAAAAAATTTTTTTTTTTCTAGATGTTGTGCAGCATTAACTGCTGAAGAAATGTTTACTAAGCAAATGCGTAAAGAAAGTGATGCAGAAAAAGAAGTACTTGATCTTAAACGTATGCAGGTAATGAATAATTTCATTTCATTAAAATAAAAAATGTATGACAAAAAAAAAAATTTTTACAGCCACTTCTACAGGTATTACTTATTGTTGTTGTCTATCTGTTGTCAATATTTGCATATATATATATATATGAAATCTATTTATTTTTATTTTTATGTATGCGAACTATAGATGAATTTATTTGTAGGATGAATGCAACGATTGGATCTATACATCGAAAGTTCTTTTAGCTGAATTAACTGGTGATGAAGGTATAGTGGATACAGGTCCACCAAAACGTGAGATTGAAAAACCATCAACAAAAGATCAATCAGATTGGCCTGATATGTCAACAGAAAGACGAAAAGTAAATTGATTATATTGAAGATTAATGTCATTATTGTATCTCTATAGGATGATGATGACACAGTAGGAGCTGAACATGTATCATTTGAAGCAATAAGTCGTGGTGGTCTAACAGAACGACGTCGATTAGGACGATCACCTGATGATGATAGAGCTAGTTCAATAGCTTCGAAATCAGCTAAAGTTGGTTTTGATGCATTACGAACAATTGCACAATTACAACAACAATTAGCGTAAATCTATTAAAGTATTTTTTTAAAAATAAATATTGTTGATACTTTTATTGTATATAGTGAAACAGAAGCACGAGCAGCTAGTTTACAAGAACAAGCAATGTCTCTTGATGTAGCATTACGCGAAGCAAATCAACGTATTCAACAACTCGAATCAAATCAACGTGTTCAACAATGATGAATTAAATATTTTCACTAACGTTAATGTTTATCGTATAAAAAGAAAATAGCCAGTCTTTATTTATGCTTTTATGTTCCACCTTATATATTTTTTTCTTTGTAATAAAAATAGAAGCACTAACGTCGCACTAAACATTTCTATTATTGAGTGTAGGTAAATAGTTCTGGACGCCCTTCCTCACACTCACACTCAATTTTCATCGCGAAAACACAAGATAAAGTAGTTAAATTCAAAAGATGTAATATTACTAAATTATATGAAACTTTTCAGAGAACAAGAGACTCCAGACGATTGAATGATGCATTGATCATACTCTATGAAAAAGAAAATGACTTGTTTGTGTATCATGCATGTACAATGAAATAATTCGATGTCGATATGATATGATAAATTTTAAGTGGTAATGATGAATAAAAAATGAGTCCCTTAAACACATATATTAAAATATGAAAATATATCGAGAATATCACAATCATCAAATTCACCAAAAATTAAAATAGAGTGTAGGTGTGGGTGGCAGAAAAGATGACCGACATCCTCTTGTATCGATTCCGTGCCTTCTCTAGTGCTTATTTTCTGTTTTCAGTATTTTGTTATGATCTTGGATTGTCTCTTTACTGTTATTTAAAAATATTGAGTCCTGATAAATGCTATCTAAATAAAGTATATGTAGCATATCGATTGTGTCACTGTCAGTTAATAAGCTCTAGTAGGAGGCATACAATCTAAGTTTTTGTGATGCTAATTGGCAAAGTCAATGCATAAAGGGCAAGTGTTCAGATCTACGGATTAAATATATTCTCCATATTGTTTCTTCTATATGACGGAGACAACTAGCACATTGTTAAAAAAACACCAACGTTCACACCGTAATTATTACCAACAACAATATCCAAGTGGCTATCGCCGTTGAAATCACCGACGGCGACCGAACGCGAATAAAAGGCGGTTGAGAACATCATTCGTGGTGCAAATGTGCCGTTACCATAACCAAGAAGAATGCTCACACTCTGACTGGCATTATTGGCAGTAACAATGTCCAGGTGATTATCATTGTTAAAGTCACCGACGGCAACTGAATTAGGATTTAGGTCAGTTGAAAAGCGCTTTTCTGTTTCAAAAGTGCCGTTACCATACCCAAGAAGAACACTTATACTCTGACTTAAATAATTAGGAACAACCATGTCGAGTCGATTATCGTTGTTAAAATCACCGAAAGCGACTAAACGCGGACGAAGACCCGTTAAAAAGCCCATTTGTGTTGTAAAAGTTGCGTTGCCATATCCAAAGAAAATGACCACATAGAAGCTGTCTCCATATGCTAGAGCGATATCAAGTCGACTGTCGTTATTGAAATCACCGACGGTGATTGAATACGGATAATAGCTGGTTGAAAACGTCTTTTGAGGCGCAAAAGATCCGTTGCCATATCCGAGAAGAATACTAAGAGTGTGACTGCCATAATTGGCAACAACAATATCCAGTTTAGTATCGTTATTGAAGTCACCAACAGCTACTGAATATGGATTATAGCCAGTTGAAAAGATCTTTTGTGTTGCAAAAGACCCATTACCATATCCAAGAAGGACGCTCACAGTATGATTGGCATAATTGGCAGTAACGAGGTCTAGTTTGTTATCGTTGTTGAAGTCGCCGACAGCGACCCAATATGGATTATAGCCAGTTGAAAAAATCTCTTGTGTTGCAAAAGACCCATTACCATATCCAAGAAGAACGCTCACAGTATGATTGGCAGTATTGGCAGTAACAATGTCCAGATGATTATCGTTGTTGAAGTCACCAACAGCGACCGAGTATGGATCGTTAAGAGCTGAGTACGACAGCATTGGTGCACATGTAAAGTTACATTTGGTCGCTACATACAAGAAAATGACCGCTCTGAAATCCTATTTTTTTTGTCTTAGAAAAGAAAATAGGCGTTTGTACAGTGACTTGTGTGTAATCGGGTGTTTAAATAAGGAGAAGGACATATTCTTCATTTTAAGCAAGTTTTATGCGTTCTATGACACTGTCTCATTTTAAACGGTTTTTTTTTTCGTTGAAAATTATTCAAAACAATTCAAGATGAACTAAAATCCAACGAAATGAGACCAACTCACTAAACATAAGAAATTCAATCGATATTGCCAACACTGTTTAAAATCAATTACAGCTTCTAGACATGGTTTTGATAAGTCTAGAAAAATCATTGACAATCATAAAAAAACTCTTCAGAACATGAGCGTGTAGTCAACAGTTAAGTCTCTTCCATAAAATCATTTACACTGCTAACTCGATTTTTGTGAACTGAAACAACATGTAGTAAATCTGGGTTATTCTATTTGAGTTCAGCGATTTTGTTAATTGATATTGTTTTTGGCTGATAAAAATATCCTTTTCCCGCTTACATTATGGGCATAACTATTTAATTTCTTTGGACATCCGTACAGGTGTCCAATCACTGTTTAGAGACTGTTTCGGGATCGACAATCGTATTGTCTCATTTATCCGGCATAAGATAGCCTAATCTGCATATTAAGCCAGTTCCAGTTGACTCCATTTCAACCAAATTGCTTCGCAACAGCTATGTTTTGATCTTGAATTTCTGAATGATCTCAAACTATGGCTGATTAAAAACTCATGCAAAAGAATTATTCAACACGTGGATGTAGGTATGGATAATACGAGTGACTAGATTTATCACACCGACGACGATCCTACACTCATATCTGCACTGGAAATCCCCGCTTTCAAGATTTTCTATAACTGACGTCGATTACAAAAAGACAGCCATGCAACATACAGCGAAAGTCCATTCAGTTTGGGCTATGTTCATTGTCTACTTTTACAGGTTTTCAAATGTATGCTCAATTATAAAAAGTATCAAATTCTGGAATTTTTTTTGAAATCTCTATCTTGTAGAATATTTGGGTCTGGTTGTTCTGATAAATGTAGCTGAAAAGTTACTAGATGGTTGTTACAATTTTAAATAAGTAGCTTTTAAATCATCATATTTTTAGTAGACACTTATTTATAGGTGGTGTCGTTCCTAATAAATGATGATTTAGTTAGTTACTAACGATGTACTAATTTATGAATTACTATTCTAAAGTAACCCAACAAAACGTAAAATGATTGTGCTATTCATATTTCAAATGACCAAAACTTAAATTTATGAATGTAATGGAAATCTATCTATATATACAATGTTCAGTGGCTGTCTGTGTCTCTGTGCCGATCAAAGGTCAAAGGTTAAAGGTCACATAAGGCTATAAGGGGAAGATCTCCAGGGACTATTTATGGGGTACTTATAGGTCCTCAAGGGCTATCCTATGAGGGTACCAATAGGTCCTCAAGGGCTATCCTATGAGGGTACCCATAGGTCCTCAAGGGCTATCCTAGAACGGTACCCATAGGTTCTCAAGGGGCATCCTATGGGGGTATCCATAGTTCCCCATGGGCTATCCTATTGTGATACACATAGGCCCTGAAGGGAGTAAGGCAATAGGGAGATAAGGCTATAAGGCCGAAGGCTGCATGAACTATAAAAATATGTGCGATATGAGAGTATGAGGTCGTAGGGCAACC